AGTTAGTATTCACGCTGACCTTTCGTCACGTTTAGTAAGTTCGTCTTACAAAAGAAAATTGCAAGTTAGTATTCGCGCTGACCTTCCGTTAGTTACTTAGTACCAACGTAGGTTCCGTTGAAGTAAATTGTTTTGACTAATTAGTGGTGCTGACCTTTCCGCCGTTTTCGCAAACCGAATTTGAGCGTTAGGTCTTATAAAGGAAAATTGCGATTTGTTACTCGCGCTGACCTTTCCGCCATTTTAGGAACCATTTAAATTGTATCTTAGGGATTAATGAAAATTCAGAATTTTACCGACCACGTTTACTCCAACCTCGTATGTGAGAAACTATCAATACATCAATAAACAATTAATTGTCTGTATATACATATATATCTTATTTGATAACCTGCCCCTGTTGCATGTTAGTGATTTTCAGCCGCGGTCGGTTACATACGGGTTTATTAATTCGCTATATTTTCGGATTGTTCGTTAGGTAAAATACGCGCGATTTCGAACGTCCTCACGACCTGACTTAAGGAGTCATCACCTGAGCTGCCGGCATACACTAATCAAGGAGGAAATTAGCATCGAAAGTTGGACACCAAAGGCCTGAACTTCGGATACAACGCGTATCCCCCCATCTGCCCACTCTGCGCAGTCGCCGTTAGGCAGACCGGGATACGCGTAACCCTACTGGCCTTACCCCCGACGATCGCCGTAATCAGCCGACGGTCTGGCGCCCTAAATAATCGGGGGTAGAACCAAACAGGCCTTGTGGCGGAAGAACTCGGAGCGCGGTCAAACCCCCCGAAATTCCCTGCCACAAAGGTACCCTCTTTTTTTTTATCAAAAATCAATAAATTCATTCAAAGTGCGGTAACTTGGGCTAGACATCGTCTAAAAAATCGTGTAAGGGCTCATTTTGAAGGATGAACAGGAAGGATCAAATGAATCCATACACATCATAAAATTCGTTCGTAGTAAAACGTTCGTAGTAAAAAATTATAACCATTTGCGCAATTTAGTTTTCAATAGAGTATCACCACCTTACTTTAATTATAACTTATTAGATTTCACACTTCGACTACTTCTATCTTATATATTAATTAACGTTTATCAAAAGCTTAATCAAAAATGATTATTATTAATAACCAACCCGATGTATAAAATCATTGAAAAATTATTTTCACGATAATCATTGATGGGTGTCTTTTCACGAGTCGTCATATGACCATAAATTCACTCTTCATCAAAAATTACAAAAATTTACCAATCATATTTCAAAATGAACCATATAGCAAGCTTTAAGCAAATTTTGTCGAAAAATAGAAGTATAATTTTTTCTAATTAATTTGCTTGAAAAATATTTTTCCATTATTTTTGTACAATAAATACCATCATTTAAACCACAATAATTTATTTTATTATCAAATGGATTTTCCATTTATACACTAAATTTGAAATTTTCAATCTAAATTCATTCCAATCATTGTAGTTTACCAACGAAATATTTTCTTCCCATAAATTTTCTACTACAAATTGTATAAATTTTTTAACAATAACTTTTATAACTTCAGGCACAGTGTTCCAGTCTTTAAATGTACTGGTATCGTAATAATTAAAATTATTTTGTTTAAAATAGCAGTATAGTTGCATAACCAAGCTATCACGATCATATTTATTTTCGGTATCTAGATTTTCTAAATATTTAACATAATTTTCATTTTCAGCCAAATGCTTTTCAATTTCGTCATTAATAACCGATATACGCAAATATTCATGAAGGTCATCAACCGTTATATATTCTCCCTTTTCTGGATCCCATATTATTGTTGAATTTTGTTGATCATTCATCTCTGAAAGTAAATATATATAGATATATATATTCGAGCGAAAATGTTATAACTTCAAAGTGTACGTATAATTTCATCAAGCAAAAAAAAAAAAAAATACATAAAATTAAACAAGAAAGCTTTGAAAAGCGTTAAAGATCGAGGAATTTATATATTCATGTACATACATACATACATACATATACAGGGTGGCCCATTTTAAGTGATCCACTCAGATATCTAGATTGGAGTGAGTTTTATCGAAAAAAGTTTCAGACAAAAGTTACTCAACTTTGAGGGGGCCATGTTTCTATGACCTTGGATTTGACCTTGGAGGTCATGTTCAAGGTCATTTCAAGGTCAACTTTGTTTTTTTAAATAGGAACCCCCCATTTTTGACCCCGGATTCGGAAAGAGCGGGAAATTTTACGTCCAAAACGGTATTTTTAAATTTTTTTTCATGGCCTAGAGAAGGTCGATTTAAGGTCAAATGCTTGAAAAACTGCCTAAAAGCATTTTTTTAATTTTTAAGATATCGAAAAATGACCTCTACAAAATTTGTTCAGAATAGAGTGGGCCACCCAATACACCAAAAACCTTTGACCTTTAACCTCATTTTGAAGGTCATTTCAAGGTCGAAGTGTTTTTTGTAATGGAAACCCCTCTTTTTGACCCCGGATTCGCACATAGCGCGAAACTCAACACAATACCTTATCCAAACGTCGGATTTCGCGCTATGTGCGTATCCGGGGTTAAAAAGAGGGATTTCCATTACAAAAAACACTTCGACCTTGAAATGACCTTCAAAATGAGGTTAAAGGTCAAAGGTTTTTGGTGCATTGGGTGGCCCACTCTGTTCTGAACAAATTTTGTAGAGGTCATTTTTCGATATCTTCAAAAATAAAAAAACGCTTTTATGCAGTTTTTCAAGCATTTGACCTTAAATCGACCTTCTCAAGGCCATGAAAAAAAATTTAAAAATACCGTTTTGGACGTAAAATTTCCCGCTCTTTCCGAATCCGGGGTCAAAAATGGGGGTTCCTATTTAAAAAAACAAAGTTGACCTTGAAATGACCTTGAACATGACCTCCAAGGTCAAATCCAAGGTCATAGAAACATGGCCCCCTCAAAGTTGAGTAACTTTTGTCTGAAACTTTTTTCGATAAAACTCACTCCAATCTAGATATCTGAGTGGATCACTTAAAATGGGCCACCCTGTATATAGGGGAAACTATTCCAGAATCCGACTAACATGTCAATGGATTGCAATTGAAAAAATTCAAACTTGTATATATGACTATTTCTTTTATCAGGTAGCTTGAGAATCGGAAACTATATAATATATACTTCCAATTTTTTTCGTGAGATTTCTACCAGAGAAATGTCGTGATATAAAAATTACTGTACTTGTCATAGTATTTTCTTATATTTCATGAATAATATAAAGTCGATAGTTGTGTTCATACCTCCTCAATACAAAATTGTACAGTTTAACATCTATTTTTGATGGTAATATCAGTCTACAGACAAAAAATATAAATTTTCTTCAAAAAATCTTTAATGTATACAAAATACGTTACACAATATGTCGAGAAAACAAACAAATTCGGGCAATTACTTGATACATATACGACCTTTGTCGTCGTCGTCGTCGTCATTCGTTAGTATTTCATAATCGAAGTTCACGAATACAATCGATCATAAAGATCGAAAGTTATTTCAGAAATAAATTATATATAAAAGTGATGCAGATGCTCGTACGATGTGTTGCATTCTTGTGATTTGTATTGAAGATAAAAAAGCAGAAGAAAATAAGCAAATGATCAAGTCTTCGATGAAAAAGAACATATATATACATACAGGATATCACAAACAGTAACAAAGTGTAGCACGTAATCGTCGTCAGTCATGATTTTCCGCATGAACTGATAACTCTAATTTATGATTGCCTTACAACAACGACAAAAACTTATGTATTATATAGAAACTCATGAAAGAAAAAAAAAAAAAGTTCACTTCGAACGAAAAAAAATGTTACAACAAAAGGGCCGAAATCTTTTCTCGGTATACTCTATGTTTTATCAATTATATTGTTAAATAACAACAAGAACAACAAAATGAAAGGTAAACTTACCAAATTTCAAACTATGCCAATTTTTTAAATTAATTTATAATCACAGATCTATTAACATAAAAATATATAGATTTTATATTTGGCTTTCACACACAAGTAATTTATATAATAAATTTCCACTACTTCAAGAAACTTGAAACATTGAAATTTATAAAAATTTGAATCACAAAATCGATGTGGAAAAAAGCAACTCTGTAAACAATATGAATATAGTTTTTAAAAAATATTTGTGAACACAGCGGTAGACCGTCTAATTTGGCCGTTTCAACTTGGTTAAATATAAGGTCTGTTCTTCTATAATAATTAATTATAACACTATAATTTTCCACAGAGTTACAAGAGTGCAATATCTAGTCCTCATTTATGTGTCTATGGTCTACTTTTGTTTATCATATGCATTCACCATTCTATCTCTTTAATTTTTCAATGGTTTACTTTTATTTATTATAACCACTTTAGAAAATTTAATGTTTTGAAAATTAATTGGTTTTACAAAAAATTTTTGTCATTAATAAGCCATTTACGTTTCTTCTTCGTGTGATTACTTTACGTAAGTATATTAACTCAAAATACACAAAGAAATTTCTTTAAATATTTATTTCGATAATATCATTTCTTCAAAATTAGTTTAATAACATGGCTAACACTACGCACCCATGCAAATGGTGTCGTTGTAAATTTACTAACAGTCTCAGTCTCAAAATCCACGTCAAACAAAAACATTCAAATGAGACTGAAAATTATTTTGTATGTCAATTGTGTGCAGCTGCTATAAAAAATAAAAGACATTTAACCAGACACATGCTTACTCATCGTCGAACAAGAATGTTCAATTGTAAATCTTGTAAAAAAAGTTTCAATCGTAAATGTAATTATATTCGTCACATTAAAGCTCATTTGAATACAAGGATATATAAATGTTCTAATTGTGTAAAAGCATATAAAAGACGTGAACATTTGAAGAGACATTCTAAAACACATGTAATGATTACTCATTTATTAGTATAACAGATGACACAATATAAACTTGAATTATAATTTACAGAATAATGAATAACAAACAAGAAATTGATGATGATCATTTACCTCCATCCAAAAAGATTAAAAATATTCCTTTTTCAACAACAGAATATTTAAAAAAAAAATTGTGATTGGAGATAAAACTGCGTAACAACATCTACTACATAAAATAAGGTGGTTATACTCAATTACATCATCATAAATATTTTTATTTTTACATTATAGATCTGTGGTTGGTTATATTGAAGATATTCTTGGAGAATCTACACATGTAAATAGAGAAAAACAAAATGAATTTCATGTATTCAAATTCTTGCTAAATAATAACGATGGCTGTACAATAGTCTGCCACATTTACAACAATTTAATTAACAAGTTCAAATCACATTCAGGCATGAAAATAAATCAGGTAAAAATACAAATTAAAAATACAATATTTAATACTTATTCATAATTTTTGGTTATAGAAAATTATTATTGAAAATGCAGCAATAGTAGAAACCAAATTCTATTCCCAGGGTAACCTACCATGGAATATTAATTTACAATTTTATACCGTTATTTCTGATCGTGGACCCTTTGGAGTATCTAAATATGTAATTCCAAAAGTCAAATTTAATGATTTGGCTTCAAAAAGAGGGATGATAAGTACGTAACAACTATAACTACAATAAAATATCATAACTACTAAATATAAAACTTTCATATATTGTAGAAGTAAATGGGTATCTACGCAGTCCTTTTATTCAAAAAAATGATAACAATGAATACGAATACATTAGTGGTCTTGCTCACAAAAAGAGAAAATTAGACTTAGTATTAATAAAAGATGAAGGGAAATCAATTAACTTTATTAAAGGATCAAAATTGGAAGTATTAGGTGATCTACAAGAAAGTGGTATTAATAAAAGACAAAAATCTCATTAATACAATGCACTTCTTATGATAAAAAAAAATTTACTTTACAGGAAAAACATTAGTCTTACGCGTGAAAACTCTCGATCACATCAAAATTCTTTCTGACGATGATTATATGACTGAACAAGACCTTCTCGTTGCTAACGAAATATTTACAATACAAGTAAGTTTACGAATAATATTATAACAGTATTACTGATCATTAATCTTAATCTGTTATATATTTTACAGCCCAAAGACGAAACAAAGGAATAATTCATATAAAAATTGTCTAAACTAACCATGAATTACAGTAATAAGTTGGAGTGAAATATCGTTGTAAATTTACTAACAGTATCAATGTAAAAACACTAACAAAATTAAAAGATATTCATTTACTCATGATCGAACAAAAATATTTAGTTATCAATCTTATAAAAAAAGTTTTAATAGTAAATGTAATGAAATATACAATTGTATTATCAGTTTATTAAGTACATCAGTTCCTATTTTTTTAAATTACAACATCTAACTCAATCATAATAAACTCTAATTCGGGATTAATATGTTGACGAGCAAAATTTTATGTTTATATATATATTTATGTTTAGATATTCCACAGATTATACAAAACATATGGTTATTAGGTTAAATAATTGGAAACTAAGTTACAAATTCAGAGAGTATTTATTATGTTATTTGTATATAAATATAATACACTTTTTTCACTTCATTTAATTATCAACAATTTCTAAATTTTATCAAAACTTTTTTCAAATCAAAGAACTTTTATCTAGTTGTCGAAGTGATAATGCTAATTATCATATACGCCTTGAATTTTCCACATTTCCCTTACTGCAAAACAAATGGGGAGGGGGGGGAGGGGCCAAAATTGTGGGGAGGGTGGAGGGGCTATTTTTCATTTTTTGATGTGGGGAGGGGCCATGAAAAATTAAAAATTTTATCAAATCACTCAAAAACACGGTGAAAACACGGTGAATTTCTCTGATTTTTATGCAATCTCAAAAATATCAATTGGGGAGGGGACGGGGAGGGGGGGGGGAGGGATCAGATTCCGAGTCCCCCTTACGACTATATATATATAGTTAGATATATATATATATATATATATATATATATATATATATATATATATATATATATATATATATATATATATATATATATACTATAATTGGTCACTTTGCGGAGAATTTTGGCAGATTGGGGATATCCTAAAAACTGCTAAGTATGAATTGGTCAGTTTGCAGTATCTCCTCAAAGTGCCATATCGCAAATGGGTTCTTTGAGGAATTAGATAATAACTCTTTATTTTTGCTATATCTCGATAATACTAGCTTATTGTTAAGATGCAAATTTCGAAATCGACCTCAGATTAAAAAATTTTATATATTACCACATATTAAATAAATTTTAAAACTAAAATACTGTATGACGATGAGGGATTAATGATAGTTATTATGTGGCGCCACAAGATGTCACAGCTTGACATGGGGTCGGTCTTTCATTAGCACAGTACATACTCTTGAATCAGCCGGTTATCCGATTTTAGCGACACGGCGGAAAAAACTATGTTGGGACGTGATTTCTGCGACATGATGCTTCATACAGTAAGACATCAGTAAAAACTTAGAGACAATCCTCTTAACTGGTAGTTATGTTAGTGTGATTCAAAACAAGTTACTGGAGAGAAAATTACGAATGTAGAGATGTCTGAATTATAAATACCCTTGAATCAGCTGGTTATCGGATTATCTCGACACGGTATGAGTTGGGTGATAGTGACCATTTCGAAATGACATATCATGCCAGAGTTCATTTTTGTAGATAATGGTACTGAATTTTCATCAGGCAAATATAATCAGAACATAGGATCTGAACTACTTGACGATCATATTGAATGCCAAATACACTGTATGATATTTAGTAATAATCAGTAAATAACCGGACTTTCGCGAAACAAATTATGTTGGGACGTGAGTTCTGCGACATGATGCTTCATACAGTAAGCTATCAGTAAAAACTTAGCGACAATCCTCTTATCTGGTATTTATGTTAGTGTGATTCAAAACAAGTTACTGGAGAGAAAATTACGAATGTGGAGATGTCTGAATTATAAATACCCTTGAATCAGCTGGTTATCGGATTATCTCGACACGGTATGAGTTGGGTGATAGTGACCATTTCGAAATGACATATCATGCCAGAGTTCATTTTTGAAGATAATGGTACTGAATTTTCATCAGGCAAATATAATCAGAACAGAGGATCTGAGCTACTTGACGATCAGATTGAAAGCCAAATACACTGGATGATATTTAGTCATAATCAGTAAATAACCGGACCTTCGCGAAACAAATTATGTTGGAACGTGACTTCTGCGACATGAAGCTTCATTCAGTAAGTCATCAGTAAAAACGTAGCGACAATCTTCTTAACTGATAGCTTCGTTTGTGGGATTCAAACCAAGTTACTGGGATGATCACTACAAATGTAGGGATGTCTGCATTACATTGACTCTCTTATCAGCCGGTTATCCGATTTCAGCGACACGGCGGAAAAAACTATGTTGGGACGTGATTTCTGCGACATGATGCTTCATACAGTAAGACATCAGTAAAAACTTAGAGACAATCCTCTTAACTGGTAGTTATGTTAGTGTGATTCAAAACAAGTTACTGGAGAGAAAATTACGAATGTGGAGATGTCTGAATTATAAATACCCTTGAATAAGCTGGTTATCGGAATATCTCGACACGGTGTGAGTTGGGTGATAGTGACCATTTCGAAATGACATATCATGCCAGAGTTCATTTTTGAAGATAATGGTACTGAATTTTCATCAGGCAAATATAATCAGAACAGAGGATCTAAGCTACTTGACGATCATATTGAATGCCAAATACACTGGATGATATTTAGTCATAATCAGTAAATAACCGGACCTGCGCGAAACAAATTACGTTGGGACGTGATTTCTGCGACATGATGCTTCATACAGTAAGACATCAGTAAAAACTTAGCGACAATCCTCTTAACTGGTAGTTATGTTATTGTGATTCGAAACAAGTTACTGGAGAGAAAACTTTGATTGTAGAGATGTTTTAATTATAAATACTCTTGCATCAGCCGGTTATCGGATTTTTGCAACACGGTGTGAGTTGGGTGATAGTGACCATTTCGAAATGAAATTTCATGCTGGAGCTCGTTTTTGGAGTGAATGGTACTGAATTTTCATCAGGCAACTATATGCAGAATATAGGATTTGAGCTACTTGGCGATGAGATTGAATGCCCAATACACTGGTATGCGATGTCTGCGACATGATTCTTCATAAAGCAAACTAGCAATAAAACAGTAGAGATATTCCTCTGATCTGGTAGCGGAGTGTGTCTCATGCAAAACAAGTATCTGGAATTGTCACTAGTATTGTAGAGATGTCGGAATCACAAATACACGTTAAACAGACTGTAATCGGATTTTCGCGACACGAAGTATGTTGGGTGCAAGTGGTGTCTGTCATGAGATTTACCATGCCAGAGTTCTGTTTTTTTGACATAATGATACAATAATTTTATCAGGCAAATAAACGAAGACAGTAGGATTTGAGATACTTAACGATCAGATTGAATGCCCAACACACTGAGTAATGCATAGTCGTGATCAGTAAATATCCGGACTTTCGCGAAACAAACTATGTTGGGACGTGGGTTCGGCGACATCATGCTTCATACAGTAAGCTAGCAGTAAAACCTTAGCGACAATCCTCTTAACTGATAGCTTCGTTTGTGGGATTCAAACCAAGTTACTAGGATGATCACTACAAATGTAGGGATGTCTGCATTACATATACCCTTGAATCAGCCGACATTTCTGTGACATGATGCTTCATACAGTAAACTAGCAGTAAAACCTTTCCTCTTATCTGATAGCTCTGTTTATAGCATTTAAAACGAGTTACTGGATAGATCACTACGAATGAATAGATATCTAAATTTCAAATACCCTTGAATCAGCCGGCTATCGGATTTTCGCGACACGGAGTGTATTGGGTGCACGTGATTTCACGGACATGATCTATATCGCTAGTGTACTATATTTGACCTCATAGTACTATATTCTTATCCTGGTTATGTACGCAAAGTATGAGAATTGAGCTTTTGAAATATTGATACAAATTATGTTGGGAAGAGATTTTTGCGATATGAATCTTGATATAGTAAACTAGCAATAAAACTATAGCGACTATTTACTTATATGGTAGTTGTGTATGTAGCATGCAAAACCATTTACTGGAGAGATCACCGCTATTGTAGAGAACTCTGAATGACAAATACGCCTCACACAGCCGGTAATCGGGTTTTCGCGACAAGGAGCGTGCAGCGTTTTGGTCAGGATTAAAAATACATTCAAAATGATTTGACATTAGCAGGCATTATTTATTACTGTCAAGGTATTATCAAGTGATTACTGTGGTATGATCTATTTTGTCAGGTAGACGTGTTCATATTTATCAAACTCATGAGGGAGAAACATTCAGATTTTTTATCAGGACAGCCCAGTATATTTTGGGTTGCGCATCACTTTGATTATGACTTCCATGGCTATATAAAATAAACTGATTTTTTTAAACAAGATTTTGTTATTTATACTTGTATTAGTTGTGTTCTTGGCGATATAGACAATGAAAGCGATATTTCCTCCCCTAACTTAAAATAAGTAGATTTAAAAAACATCTACAGTAGCTCATAATAAGATATTATGATACTAATAATTTGAAAATCACCATATCATCAATTTACTGCAATTACTGCATTTTATTGAAAACAATCATGTGGAATCTGAAACTTATATGCAGCGTCTGTTCACTGTTTTGTTTGTATAATAACAGTAGTTGCTCAGTGCTTATATCAATTATCTAAAGTAGTACTAATTATATATCATAACATTTAAAATGAATAATTCATTGGTACATAACACATATAAGTCGCTTAAAAGATTTAACTTTTTCAAAAGCAATTTTTATTAATTTTAATCATTTATATGGAGTGAATCAATTTAAACGTAGTTTTCCAGCATTCAAATTATTTTTTTTTTTGTTATTTTATGTTGTAAAACAGTGATGTACCAATAAATTGCATACAAGATCAAGTAATAAATAAAGGACCTTAAAAGTCGATTGCAGCATAGACTACTAGATTAATAGTGCATTACCTAACAATTCTCGTCTATTATGAAAGACACACGCGATGAAAATCTCTTCCCCCATGTTCCCCCCACAAAGCGGAAAGCTAGATTTTACGCGCACACGGTTGGTTGAGCGTGTGCGAAAATCGTACTTGCCGTACGGTGT